ATGGGTACTCAGACATGGGTTTGCTAAGCACAGACTCCTCCTTGGGCATCTGTGCAAACAGAGCAGGAGGAAGCCTGGCGTCTCCGTTCTTGTTCTGTGAATGTTTCCTTTATTTGGGTCAGGTTCTTCTTCAAGGCCACACACTAGCATGTTAATGACTGAAGGTATGTTTGTCTATAACCTGATGTAACTTGAAATATTTCATTCCCCCTTCCAAGGCTGAAGGCAATAAAGAATAACTAAGGTATTCTTTATTGGTATTCTAGCTCTTTATGGGGCTCTAGGGAACAGAAGACTCAAGAGTTTGAGACCGGCCAGGCGGTGGTGGCGCACGCCTTTAATCCCAGCACTTGGGAAGCAGAGGCAGGTGGATCTCTGTGAGTTCAAGGCCAGCCTGGGCTAGAGAGTGAGTTCCAGGAAAGGTGCAAAGCTACACAGAGAAACCCTGTCTCGAAACCCCTCCCCCCCCAAAATAGAGTTTGAGACCATTGTGGAATCCATAGTGATATACAGTCTCAAAGCCAAAACTAAAGACTAACTAAGGTCTGGTACTATGAGCTTTACAGCAGTCTATTATAACCCCTATGGTGCTTATTTTTGTTTGTTTGTTTGGTTGGTTGGTTGGTTTGGTTTGGTTTTTTGTCAACTTGACGCAAACCTAGACATACCTGGGTAGAGGGAAGTTTAATTTAGAAAATGCCTCCGTAAGATTGATTTGTAGGCAAGGCCATGCCTGGGGTATTATTTTGACTGATGATTGGCGTGGAAGGGCCCAGCCCACTGTGGGTGATGCAGACCCTAAGCAGGTGGTCCTGGGGTGCATGAGAAAGCAACCTGAGCCAACTACGGGGGGCAAGCCAGTAAGCAGTATTCTTTCATGGTCTCTTCTTCAGGCCCTGCCTCTGGGTTCCTGCCTTGAGTCCTGTCCTGACTTCCTTCAGTGACGGACTGTGATACAGAAGTGTAAGCCAAACAAAGCCTTTCCTCCCAAAGTTACTTTTGGTCGTGGTGTTCATCACAGCAATAGAAACCTAACTAAGACACCCTCTGAAGACGCATCAATATCTCCAATTATAGTTCTGAGCCTGCAGTCACTTTGCATTGTGGGAACAGCAAAGCCTCACAGACAGATCACCCCCTGAATGGGGGCAACTGCCTCAAAGACTGAGAATACTGAGAAAGGAAGGGTGTCTCGTCTGCCCAAGCAGGAGCAAACATCTCATGGGAACTAGATGGCCCCCTCAAGTGCTAAGACCTCTCTGGAGTCATCTGGCAGAACCAGAACTGAAACAAGGATCAGCCAGACCACAAGCTGACCCAAATTGCTTAACTGTACAGATTTCTTAGTCCTGCCCAGCCCAACTCCCCCTAAAACGCATACAAGCCTACCAATGTTTGAGACTCTTGTTCCCCATCTTCTCGATACAGCCACAGTGACTACACTCCTTTATGACTGCGCTCTCTCTCGCGCTCGCGCTCGCGCTCTCTCTCTCTCTCTCTCTCTCTCTCTCTCTCTCTCTCCTTCCTTCCTTCCTTCCTTCCTTCCTTCCTTCCTTCCTTCCTTCCTTCCTTCCTTCCTTCTTTCTTTTTTCTTTTTTGAAACAGGATTTCTCTGTGTAGCCCTGGCTGTCCTGGATCTTGCTCTGTAGCCCAGGCTGGCCTCAAACCACAGAGATCTGCCTGCTCTGCCTCCCGAGTGCTGGGATTAATTAAAGGCATTGCTTCCACTTGGTTTCCAAGGTTAGTGACCAGACCAAATTTGTTGGGTCAGATGTCTGGCACAGGACTTTGGGCACAGTGATGCCCCCATCCATCCCCCACTTTCTGGTGTGCAGGAACCAAGTTCTCTCTGCCTTGGGATTCTCCCTCCGGTCCTTACATGAAGGGTCTGTGAGGGGGGCCAGGACCACTCAGCAGGGGACACAGACGCGGTGCTCCTGCAGTGCTGCCCACACGCCAGCAATCTAGGTCGTCGTCTGCACACAGCTTTAAACTTGGGACAGCTTCCGGTGCACCTCTGTCCTGAAGCCCCCCTGCACTTTAACTCCTGTGCAGGCAGTAGGCAGGAGCAGAAATGTCACCTACAGCCCGCATTTTAATGCATGCAGGCCATGTAATTAACACTTCTAAAACCTGCGTATGACTCAAATGGACTCGGTCTCACTCAAAACCCCAGGAGATGCACAGCAGCCGTGGGTGCGCTCATGCGCTCACACTTCCGTGAGGCTTAGCTGCAGCCCCTGGCATGGAGCTGAGAGGCATGAAGGCACCTCCTTTTACTTCCTACCCTACCTCCAGATCAATTTCATCCTCTACAAAACAACAAAGCAGAAGCCCGGCCTGAATTATGGCAGTGACAAGCCTGCTCTTAGTCAGATTCAACTTTTGACCTATACGTTCCCGCCGCAACACTGAGCAAAAGGAAGAAATGTGCAGTTATGATCTTGTGTTTGCGGGAAGAGTACAATTATGGAGGAATTTACAGGAAATCAAAAAGGTGCCGCTTGAGAGGATGGAAAACGATAAAACAGTCACACAAAGGGAATGAACGCCAGTCAAGAACAAAACATACACCCCGAGAGCACCAGCGCCCCGTGCCGGGGACCTCCCAGTCAGACTGGCCCTGGAAAGACCCCCAATGCCCAACTTGCTAATCTGGGCCTGGGGTATTGTGTGGATGCCAGGGACGCTTTCCTACACAGCCCCTGCTCTCTGGTCCTGCTGGACTTCCCGAGACTCAATCCAGTCAGCTGGCCTTGCAGAGGGGCTGGAGTGAGCTGGGGGAAAACTGGCACCCAGGCAGGCCCTGGACTCCAGGGCATTTAGCTGAGCTACAAGAGGCTCTGTAAGACCACAGAGCCAACAGCCTGGATTCACGGCTTTTCCTTGGGTGAGTCCCTAACTCTCTGGGCCTCCATTTCCTCATCTGTAGCATGGGACTAACTGGAGCAGCTGCCTCATACATCAATAGCAACAGCCTCTTTAAGCAGAGTGGCATGCCCAGTGCTTATCAGCACAGGCCTTCCACGGGGAGTCTCGGCGGGGCCTGTGTTGTTAAGACACACCAGCTTGACTCCTGTCTCACACACTCACTTCATCAGCTTTGCAGATGATGAAATGGGGACTGGCAATCCTTCCATCCCCACCATAGCTGGGTATGAGCACAGCTCTCTCTCAGCTGAAGCTATGGAGACAGCAAAGTTCCGTCATCCGTCCGTGGTCTTGAAAGGGACAGGGACTGTAGCTGACACTCTCCCCTGGGCAGACTCCCTCCACAGAGCAGGAGAGAGCGGGCAGCCAGAGCATTCAAGCCCTGGGAGCAGATGAGTGTGGTGGCATGGACTTACAGTTCCAGCACTGGGAATGAAAAAGCAGGCAGATCTCAAGTTTAAGGCCATTCTGAGTTATATAGTAACACCCAAACAAATGAGCAAAACCCAGGAACTCCCAAAAATCTAACACCAAATGGTAATTTAACGTCATAGAGAGCCCACCTGCTTTGGGAGATGAAGGACCGGCTGCTGCCGCACCCAGAGCCCTTCCTTGGGTTCTGGCAAGGAGGGCAATAATTGTGGCCATGATGGATCTGCCAAGATCAACTGTATCACGGCGGAGACTGGGCCCCGTGCTATTAAAACACACCCCTGAGGCGGCAAGGACAATGTGACATTTCTGAAATTGTTCTACTACCATCAAATGCCAAATAAGTCCTTTTTGCTGCTCGCTTTAATAAAACTGAGAGGCATTCTTATAAACGTGAGACTCCACCTTGGAGCCTCGCAAATGTCACCGGAATTAAAGTGAGCTTGCTCTAAAGTGACGAACTAATGGCTCATCCCTCAGGGAGACACTGGAGCTCACAAGCCAGCTGTGTTCTCCAGCACACTCCCTCCCCACTGCCAGTGACCTCAGGGCAAAGTCACCGTGAGGAAGACGGTGGACCCAGGCCAATCCCAAGGACTCGCAACTTGTTCTGCTGAGTGAGCTACAGGGACACACACTGGTTACTTGAAACAAACAAGAAGAGATGCCATGAGCCTGAAGGACAGTCTCCATCCTCACTGAGGGTGCGGCTGTGACGGGCACTGGGCCAGGGTTACTATGGACACCTGTCAGCAGCTCCGGGGTCTCCACCATCTCCCATGGGCACCTGCCTCAGACTCAACTCACCGGAATAAATCTCAGTTCTGTCACTCCGCTGCCTCCATGGCCACGTGGCTCCTGCAGCAGTCCCCTCAGTGACAACCAGTTGCCATTCCTGCCTCTAGCTGAGTCTGTGGTCAGAGGCTAAAATGGCTTTTGGAAATACAAACCTGATCTGTACTCTCCTAAGTCCTTCTAAAGTTTCCTGTGCTTTCTCCTCTCAGGACAAAGCCAAAACCTGACAGCAACAATGTCCCTCAGTCCACTCAGGGTCCACTTCCCTGGCTTTGCTCGGTCACACAAGGCCACTGCCCCTTTCCCCAATGTCCTTGAAAAGAAGGGTTCCTTAGCCCGACTCCTGACCCCCACCTCATCGTGTACCACCCTCACCTCCATTGTGTCCTGGACACAGTATTCTCACATTTCGGGACTCACAAGTCAGATCTCCCAACTAGGCGGGAAACTGTCACCACACAGACTCAGGATCAGAAGTGAGGAGCCTTCTGCACACCTCCCAATGAAGTCTGCCTCATCTCTCTCCCACTTCACATAAGTGCAGCCACTCAACAAAAAAGCTGTTCGGCCACCATTAAAGAGCAGTTCGGTGGCCTGGAAGAAAAGTGATAGCATGCAGAAGCTACCCCGAGCCTGGGAAGGTTCACCCCAAAGTCACCTGACACACCAGCTGTGCTGGATGTAAGAGCTGCCTATGGGACAGCCACAGCCATGAAGAGCATGAATAATAGGGTGGAGCACAGATCCCGACTGGTTCTCTAAGTGGGGTGGTCAAAAGAACCGACTCCATTCTCCGTGAACTGAGCACAATTAGCCCAGGTAGTCACAAGCCAAGGACTCACCATTCCACGATCTCTGGGTGAAGAATAGTATTGTTGACATTGAACCTATAAAGAGAAAATACACCAATGGCATTAGTTGGATGGCCTAGCAATCCCCAGCGAGAAGTATCTCGTTCACCACAAACACACCATGACCAAGAGAGGACCCCACTTTTAACTTCCTGGCTTTCTGGCCTGGAGAAAGCTGCTGCTCAATTTGTGCAGGCCTGAAGGCCTGGGCCACCACCTGTAAGTGTGGGTCAGTTGGAGAGCAAGCATTTTGATTATAAAACACCCCCTCTTCCCTACTAGGCAGACTCTTTATCAAGTTCATTAACACACACATAATGGGAGTACCAGAAAAGGGGAACAGAAAGAATAGTGAAGAGAAGAAACTGAACTTTCCACTAATTATTTGATGAAAAATGCAAATCTGCACACCCTTTTTAAAAAACAAGTTCATTTCATGTGCATGGGTATCTTGCCTGCATGTATATCCATGCCCCATGTGCATTCCTGGTGCCGGTAGAAGTCAGAAGAGAATGCTGGATCCCCTGGGACTGAAGTTACAGACAGCTGTGAACTGTCATGTGGTTGCTGGGAATTGAACTCGGGTCCTCTGCAAGTCAGCCAGCACTCTTAACCACTGGGCCATCTCTCCAGCCCCTTCAAGCTCAACAGTCTCTAAGTAGCACAGATTTAAAGACATACCATAGTCAAACTGCCAAACAACAGGGTATACACTGGTGGTCCTGAAAGCACAAGGCTAGACTTAGGACTTTCCAGCTTTCTGATTGGGATGTCATGAGGAGGATCTACAACCCAGTGGTTCAACTTCCAGTTTCCAACCTTACGAAAGGCTGATGGATACATACAGCACAGCTGTCGATCAAGGAGCTTCTGCATCTTGTAAGCATAACGAGAAACTCAGTTCACCACACACAGGGTATGATCCTGGTGCGTTCTGATCAGTGGCCAATTCCACACCAGAAACTATGACAACCAGAAGGCAGTGGGATAATGTTCAAAGACTTGAAAGAAACAAAAAATTGGGAAGGTAAAAATTCAGCAAAGATATGCTTCAAAAATGAAGGAAAAGGGTCTCACTGTGACCTGTGACCCTGACTACATGAGAAGCACCATCAGGGTTCATCATGTGTGAATGCATGTCAGTTCATATGTCCAGACAGGTAAGGCCTGCTCTGAGCCCAACTGTCTAGGGCATAGGGTTCATCCTGATGGACAAGTGTCCAACTCCTTCATCTTTAACTTTGTTAAACTGGTGCCAGAAACTGTGAGTCATGGGCAATCTTTGTGGACCTGGAGCCTATGGTAACTGATGTGATCCAAAGTGACCCAAAGCATCTTATGCTACCCAAAGGATGCTACTAACAACTATATCCATGGCCATTACATCGCTGGCGAGATCACCAAGCCAGGTTGGACTCGGGGCTTCCTCGGTTTCCACAGCTTTGGAGAGGGCTCTGGTTCTACCCCACTGCGGAAGGAGTCTCTACTGACTGTGGCAAGATGTCTGAACTGGAGTTCTCCAAGTGTTCACACCCTATAGCTCGAACTTGGCACCCACACCACCCTGGAGCACTCAGACTGTGGCTTTATGGAGGACAATGAGGCTGTATGACATCAAACACCCAACCCATACCAACCTCAGCCACCTCATCACTCAAACCGCCTCCTCTATCAAAGCGATTCCACCCCTCAAAGGGGCCCCACCACGAATCTGAAGGAGTTCTAGACCAACATCTGCCCTACCCTTGTATCTCCTTCCCCTTGGCCACCTATGTTCCAGTCATCTCTGCAGAGGCCTACTGTGAGAACTGTTGGTGGCAGAGGTCAACAATGGCTGCTTGAACCTGCCAATCAGAAGGTGATGTGTGACCCCTAGCACAGCCAAGTAATATCCTGCTGACTCCCTTAAGGTGGAAATGTGCTACCCAAGGATGTGAATGCTGCCATTACTGCCATTAAGACCAAGAATAGCAGCCATGTGGACTCATGTCCCATGGGTTTCAAGGTTGGTATCAACTGCTTGCCTCCTGGTGTGGTGCCTAGGAGTCTGGCCAAGGTACAGTGTGCTATGTGTCACGTGTATTCTGAGCAACATGCCTGCCATTGTTGAGGCCTGGGCCTGCATGGACTACAAGTTTGACTTTATTATGCCAGGGGGACTTTTGTACATTGGTATCAGGGTAAGAACATGGAAGAGGTGAGTTCTCTGAGGCTAGAAGGATATGGCTGCCCTAGAGAAGGATTACAAGGAAGCAGGCATCAACTCCTATGAAGATGGGGATGAAGGAAAAGACAGACAGCTGCTTGGAGTGTGTTCACTACAGTTATGGCAAAATCCTTTCAAAATAGTCTCCTTGCATTGCTGAAAAAAAAAAATGGAGAATTAAAACTTCTCAGATAAACAAGACAGGAGGGAATTGATCTCTGGTACATTTGTCCTACAAGGATTCCTTCAGACTGAAAGGGCACTAGAAAGTGATGTGAATCTGCATGAAGAAGCAGCGGGCACTGATGGGCCATGGAGATGGCTCATCGGGTAAAGGTGCTCACTGCATGCTTGATAACTCGAGTTTGAGTCCTGGGATCTACTTGGCAGAAGAGAACCAGCTCTCCCAAGTTGCCCTCAGAATTCCACATGTGCACCAAACACAGGCATACAAACACAAATGAATAAATGTTTAAAAAACTGGATTTGTTTGTTTTTTTAAGGGCAGAGGGTGGTGCCAGAGAGATAGTTGGTGGTTAAGAGTGTATATTGCTCTTCCAGAAGAAAGGAGTTCAATTCCCAGGACCCATTATGGGTGGCTCCTGTAATTCCAGTTCTAGGGGATTTAATGCCCTCTTCTGGCCTCTGCAGGCACTGAATATGCATGTGTACACTCACGCAGACATACACAGATATGAATAAAAATAACCTTAAGGAGGGGTCACTGGTAAAGGTGACCATATAGGCAAATATGGAGACAGCAGAAATGTAGCTTTTGCTTGCAATGTCTTAAAAATTACCAACAGACACATGCATACATACATACGTGAATATGTGCACACACACACACACACACACACACACACACACACACACACACACACCCTCCATACACAATGACAAGAGAAAGACACCTGATGCACAGCCTGCAAATGGGATGACTCTGTTTATCATCAAGTGTCAGGTGAACAGAAAGAGTGGGGGCCTGGAGAAAGGACATGGACCACGGGGGAGCACAGGGTTTCCTTTGGGTGATGAAAGTGTTCCCAAACTGATGATGGTGGTGGTCAGATAACTCAGTGAGCATCCCAACCCTGGTCATGAGAACCAGCAGAGGACCCGCGGGTAAGACCTTGGCCTTCTGGATTCCATGATCTCCCCACAGAGGCATAGGTAGAGCTCTGAGTTTCTGACTTCACACAGCCCAGGGACTCTCCATGGCCTCATGACTGGCATTTGAGCTGATCTAATGCCATGGCCATAAGGAATAGCCTTACCCTGACCAAGGAGCAGGGGTAGGCAAGAAAAGATACCAGCAGCCTTAGAAGATTTCTCTATGAAGCTTCGGATCCTGAAGTACACAAGCAAGGCTTCTTGGTTCTAAATCAATTCAAATACTTTAGAATCAAAGTCATGGGCCTGGAGGGATGGCTCTGTGGCTATGAATAGTAGCTGCTCTTACAGAGGATCTGGGTTCAGTCCCCAGCATCTACCAGCACACAACCATTTGTTACTCCAGGGGACCCAGTGCCCTCTTCTGGCCTCTAAGGGTACTGCCTGCATATGGTGCACAGACATACACGTAGGGAAACATTCATACACATAAAATAAAAATAAACAAATCTAAGAACAATCAAAGTCCTACCTGTGGGGTGTCACAGAGATTATAGACAGCTGATGTGGCTCAGAAAAAAGACAGAGCAGCAGGTCACATAAATCAAGACCTGTCACCTTAGGAACAGCCAGCTGCATCTCACTGCACACAATTCATATACCCACATGCATACAGACACGGCTGCACAGACACACAAATACACATGTGCATGCAGAAGCAGCAAGGTGAAACAGGGAAAGATGATGGCACGAAGACATGACTGCACACACACACACACACACACACACACACACACACACACACAGAGCTGTGAGCTTAGAAGACATATACAGATGTACAAATAAGAGAAACCCGAGACACATATAGATGGACTGAGATGTCACCTGTGTCCTAGGAAGGACACATTCCTAGAACCCCAGTGGATGCCTGAGAATATAGATAGTACTGAAGATTAGATATATCATGGTTCCCTCTTCTAAGCATGAATAGCTATGGTAAAATTTAATTTATAAATTAGGCACAGTAGGAGGCTAGTAATAAGTAATAATAAAATAGAACAATTACAACATACTATAATAAGATTGCCAGCGTCAATATACTCATGCTTTGGAAAATTAATTATAAATAAAATAGAGGCTATCTAAACACAAGTACTGGGATATCACATGGCTGATTTGATAACAGAGACAGCTACTGAGAGACTGATGGGTGAGTATCACATGTAACTGACATGTCCCGGGTAAATGATGCAAGATGGGATCACAGAACAACATAAACTTATGAACTCACCAATCATAGCAATGCATGCAATCTCAGACACACAGGGAGCTGAGGTAAGAGGACTATGAATTTGAGGCGAGCCTGGACTACACAGTGAGACCCTGTCCCAAAACTGCAGGGTGTGAGTGAGGGGTGAGTCAGCAGTGGGATGCGTGCTTTGGAATGCCTCACCTCTGTTGAGCATTCCCATCCCCATGCATGTCCCCTAGTGCTCCTTCCTCTGGGCCTCACCTCTCACTCTGCCACACCACTGTATAGTCTTCAGGGGCTCCTCTGCTGGGACAGAGGCCTTCATCAGTGTCCTATCCTAAAGGCCATGAGCACCGACTTGGGGTCCTCATGAGTTACATATTTCTAGAATTTTCCATGTAATATTTTCAGATTGTGGTTAACTATGAGTGAGATTGCAGAAATTAAAACTACAGACAAAGGAGGAATTATTCCACACACACAGACACAGGCAGATGTATGTCGCACACACACTTAAGAGACGGGTCATCTAGACACATACATATACACATCCCGAGAGCCAGACACACACATAACAAACAGAAAGACCTACAACCACATAAGCATGGACACACAGACACAAATGGCACACACAGACCAAGGCATACACACACAGACACATAGAATTCCAGACAGACAGACACACTCAGACACAGAAGATTCTAAAAGTCCATGTGGATAGATTCACTCTGAGTAATGAAATTCAGATCGTCCACACTGTGGCCTCAGTACTAGGAGCATTTTCACTGATGAGAATATGTTCATTATGCAAAAAACAACAAAGCCCAAAACCCTACCATGCCAGCGAGGGTGGGAGGATGGCCTAGAAGTGGAAGGTGGATAACGGGAGGGTGAACAGGGCGGGCCTGGCCTGAGCCAGGCCTCCGTCTCTCCCCGTCTCCCCGCCCCCACCACTACACACACACACACACACACACACACACACACACACACACACACACTCTGCTACAGGGCTAGAGAAGGTTCTCCCTTTATGGAGATTTCCATGGCCCATAATTTGAAATCCAATCCTAAATATTAACTTGATATACAAGTTAACAGTTACCTAAAAGTCATGGTCCCCAAACCACAAATTGGCATTTTGCTGTAAATCGTCAAGTTTTAATAATGTCCCTCTAACTTCCTAGGTTTTAAAATTCACATCGTTGAATATTAATATCCTTGCATTAACAAGTCCCGAATTCAGCATTTCATATTTAACTGCTTATTTAAATGGAATTAATTTGTAACCAATTGTCTTCAAATATGCAAGGCAATTTAACTAAATGCCAAAAGATAAGAAATATGCTTATTCTCAATAGCCAGCTGATGTGAAATAAGAACCATATTTCTCTCTCAGATGACGGCATGAAACAGCGAACTCTGTAATTTGCTATCTCCACCCAGAACTCCTGGGCACGGGTTCTGCCTGTCTGGAAGGGGGATGGTCTCATACCAGGGAAGCATCCCCATTGCATGTCTTTAACTCTGATGGATGGGTGGCCCTCAGCTCAGGCCACATGCCCACTCCAAAGAATCTTCACAGTCAGTTTCTCTATCTCAGGAAACTGCCCTAAAACCTACGTCCTTGGACACTAACAAAGATCTATGACATCTGGTTTGGTCATGGGCTGCAGGAGCTGAGTGCTCCAGGGGCCCTGGGTGCCTGGAGTCCACAAGAAGAGGTCTGTCCCCCATCTCTGCCTCTCCCAGCTCCAGCCTACAGAGCAGCCCTTGCACCCCCAGCAAGGCCTGGCAATGAGTCCCCAACCCTGCTCCTGTCCACCATATGCCTACCCGAGCTCATGGAGAGGCCTTCTTCTAAATGCTCCCTGGAACTTGTCTCTGATCCAACAGGGCCCCCAAGCCTGGCACCATGGGCAGACCCCTCACTCAACACAAAGACCACGGGGCTAAGCCTGGCACCATGGGCAGACCCCTCACTCAACACAAAGACCACAGGGCTAAGCATGGCACCATGGGCAGACCCCTCACTCAACACAAAGACCACAGGGCTAAGCCTGGCACCTTGGGCGGACCCTCACTCAACACAAAAGATGACAACATAAGCAGAAGCCATAGCCTCTTGTGAGCCCAGCGACCTGTGGCTCCAGCAAGATCTCTCTGACCTCTGACATGTCTGCCATCTCCCTCACCTCCACCCCCTCTCCCCTCTGTTCATCTACTGTCTCCACCACTCTCAGACCAGGCGCACACGCTGCTGTGGGCCTCGGGAGGCCTGGCTCTGGCCCTGGGTAGCTGAGGAAAGCCTGAGGTTAAGGCTACACACGTGGGACAGGACCCCAGGTAGGTAACCCTATGAAGCCACACTGAAGTAAAGTCACAAACCAACTCCCTGGCTGGATCACAGCTCAGAGGATCTGGGAAGGGTGGACCACTAAGGCCACTGCTACCCCTCCTTCATGCAGGCCAAGAGGATTGGCAGCCTGGGAGGCTCATCAGGACAGACAGAGGGGGCCAAACCTGAGTATCTGGCTAGGTAGAAGGTCAAATAGAGATCCAAGATGGAGGCATTTCAAGAGAGACATTTAAAGGGGTCAAAAGCAAAAACCCCAGGAATGTGGAGCTCCATCTGGGCAGTGAGAGGTGACAGGGGACACCGCAGTTGCACACTGGAAACTAGGGCAACATCAAGATTCATCTTGCTTAGGAAACAGGCTATTATTATCCAGCAAACAGCTGGAACTCTCGGCAGGCAGGTAAACGCAGGTCTGAGTCACGGTGGCCCTTGAGGACAAGGTCTCTCCCTAGCCTGGCACAGAGACCAGTGGGTGACAGAACCGAGGTGCTAGCTACCTGACTGGTGAGAGGCATGGGGCTGGGCTACACCCAGAGCCCAGGAACAGACATGACTTCTAACTGGGAGGGGCTGGGGCACTTGACCCCGTGGCCAGGACCCCAAGTCAGTGCTCACAGCATGGGGTAGAGGACACTGATGAAGGCTCTCGTGCCAGCGTAGGAACACAAAGGGTGACAGTGAGAGGTGAGGCCCGAGGAAAAGGATGTAAGGACAAGCCTACTTTGGACCAAAGAGAGGAGGGAATGTGGGCACCATATACAGGCCAGACACTGCAGAACAGAGGGGAGCCGTCAGACTCTGGCCAGCAGCTCATCACGTGGGTGCAGAAACAAGCCCAGCCCATACCCAGTGTGGAGAGCTGTCGCCCAGCTCAGCTGCTATGGGGCCTAGGGAATCCCACAGGCAGCCCCCCACCACATGCGCATCCCTCAAAGACTGAAAAAGTAAGGCAGTCCTGGCTCTCAGGAAAGGTCTCCAAACTGGACATGGTGGTGCACATCTACAACAGGAGAGTTGTGAGCTGCAGGCCAGCCTGAGCTATAGACCTTGTCTCAAAAGCAAAACCAGGCAGACAAGCCTCAAGGCGTCTGGGGGTGGGGGGTTGCAGGCACAAGGTCCCTGAGGTTCTGAGAAGGACTGAAGAGACTCAGGGGAGAAGCCAGGGGCAGAAGCTGGGATCTGCGGAGAGGAGAGCAAGGCTGGAGTCTGCAGCAGGGAATCCTCTCAGTGAGGCAGGATGAGGCCTCCAATTCTGGCCCCCAGTGACCGTGATGGCCGTGTGGGGTCCCAGCTGCTTTTCTTAGTGAAACTTGCCAGTGCAGAGATCTGCCTCTGCAGCTTCACCCCAGGGCTTCACTAGTCACATAATCCACCAGATCCCAGTCCGGGAGAAACTCCGCATCCTCTGTGGCAGGGTCCAGACACTGCAGCTTACAGCCAAGCAGGATTCAGGCCGCTGACCACGCTGGGGCCGCCTGGCTACCACACAGTTAGGGAGACCAAGGCTCCCGGGGTAGCAGATGTGAGCTACCATGCAGGCTCCGGCCCCCAGCTGTTTCCTTTGGTCCCCACCACCGAAGCAGTGCTGTGTACATGTGGTGGCCAAAGTCACAGGGCAGTGAGAGCCAGCCACCGACTTGCGGCACAGGGCCCTCCCCACAAGGCTGAGACCCAGGCAGAGGCTGCAGATGGCAGGGGTTGAGAAAGGTGGGCAGGGTGTTGGGGCACAGGCACCCGGCAGTGCGGGGTATTAGGAGGGGAGGACGGTGACTGGGCAGTCGGCATTTCAGCAAGCTGGGCTGGTCACCACCAGGCCACTTAGGGCAAACTCCCAAGAGGATGCAGCAGTTTGTGCCGTGAAAGAAGCAAACTGGATACCCAGCGCTCCTGCCCCACAGCTCTGATCGTGAGGACACGATACATATTCATGAGCTCATAATCCTTTCTAATCACCCCTCCATCTCACACACAGATTCCCTCCTGCGGCTGAGACTCATCCATAATTATAAGCACTCTGCTGGTCCCACCTCCGTCCACAAAAGGACAACAGAGGACACGGTGCCTACGGAGCACTTGTGGCTGGGGACACTGTGGCTCAGGTGCAGGAGCAGGGCTGACGGCTGTTTGCTGCCTCGAGGGCCCAACCATGACAGCAGCAGCCGGCCACTCCAGCCGGACCTCCCAGGACCCAGCCTGACCCGGCTGCATACACGCGGCTAGCAGGCGGCACTCTCTGGGGGCAAGGGTGAGGTGTGACAAGGAGACAGAGCGAGCTCCAGGGAGCTCCAGTCCAGAGAGGGGACCTATTTATTTCTTGAGTAGGGATTAGGGGCTCCACCCAGGGCTTAGCCGGGGAGTGAGTAAAAGGTTAGGGCAGTGGGAGACACTGGGAGTTGCTGAGAACTGGGCTGGCCCAGGACTGGGGTTGGGGTTGATACAAAAAAAGACTACAAAGCTCAGAGCCACGGCATGGGCCACTTCTAGGCCAGCCTGGGCTAAACAGAAAACAAAACGAGGCTGTCGATGTGGGCAGTTTGTCTTCAAGGGTGAACCTGCCTGTCAACCTCAGTTCAATTCCAGGATCCACGCGGTGGAGGGAGAGAGCCAGCCCCTACAAGTTGTCCTCTGACCTCCACACACGCCCTGGCACCCACACTCACTCCCCACACACACACACAGTCACCCAATCCATGTGAAACACAAAAGAAAGAAAACAGCTACTCTTGCCACACAGAGTCCAGGGCTCCCAGGGCTCTTCCAAGATGGAGCCCAGCAAGGAGGGGTGTTTTCCTCCAGGTAAAGGATGGAGTGATTTTACACCAATTATTTCTCTACACATTTCCTCCAAACATGGGATCAAATTCACTTTCAGTGCCCTCCCGGAGGTCACGTTTCGAGTGGCCAGCCTGGGAGAGGTCCGCGGACAAAGGCAGAGCAGGCGGAGGAGGGACTCACTTGCTGATGCCCTCGAAGGAGGCCTCTCTGCAGACACTGCCGCTGTCTGTGTTGACACCACGCTGTGGGGAGAAAAGGGGAGTATGAGAACAGGTCTGCCACACACGGACCACAAAGCACCCATCCCCAGGCGGGCCGAGGGCTGTCTGCCTCTTCCACCAGACTCAAATGGAAGAGAACGAGGAGGCCTACCTTGCACAGGCCAGGGTGTCCTGCCCCTCAGCCTTTCCCTGACAAACCGGCTCCATAGCAGGGGAGCGCTGAGCTGGGCCCCACAGCAAAGGTGGAACTTTTTTCCCCAGTGCATGTGAAAAGCAGAGAAATCCAGCTGCAGTGGTGCATGCTTGTAGTCCTAGCACTGGGGAGGCTGAGGAGGCCAGATCACCAGTTCAAGGCTAGCCTGGGCTATATAGACATTCTGTCTTAAAAACAAAACCACAACTAACAGAAAGAAAGAAGGAAAGTAGAGGGAGAGGAGGGAGAGGAGGGAGAGGAGGCGGAGGAGGGGGAGGAGGG